TTCCCATAGCAGTGGGGGGGGGAGCTATTTACTTGGGATTTGAGGGGGGGGGGGGGGGGGGGATTTAACCCATTTGGTTCTTGCGGTTGGGGGTTCCATATTGGGGGAGGGGAGTTTATCTTATTGGGGAAATTTGAGGCTAAAACCCCGGAGTTTGTTCCAAAGCAGTGGGGAGCGGGCTATTAAATTTGGGATTTTGAGGCTTGAAACCCGGAGTTTTTTTCCCATAGCAGTCGGGGGGGGGAGTATTTAAATTGGGGACCCTTGAGGCTTGAACCGGCCTTTTTCATTTGCCAGTGGGGGGGGGTCTTTTTTTTAAATTGGACCCTTGAGGCCTTGAACCCGGGTTCTGCCCCCATAGCGTCGGGGGGGGGAGCTATTTAATTGGGGAACTTGAGGTTAAACCCCGGGTTTGTTCCATTGCGGGGGGGGGGGGAGTATTTTTATTGGGGATTTTGAGGCTTAAAACCCGGGTTTTTCTGTTCCACTAGCAGTCGGGGGAGGGGAGCTACTTACTTGGGATCTTGAGGCTTGAACCCGGAGTTCTGTTCCACTAGCAGTCGGGGGGGGGGGCTACTTACTTGGGATCTTGAGGCTTGAACCCGGAGTTCTGTTCCACTAGCAGTCGGGGGAGCGGGAGCTACTTACTTGGGATCTTGAGGCTTGAACCCGGAGTTCTGTTCCACTAGCAGTCGGGGGAGCGGAGCTACTTACTTGGGATCTTGAGGCTTGAACCCGGAGTTCTGTTCCACTAGCAGTCGGGGGAGGGGAGTACTTACTTGGGATCTTGAGGCTTGAACCCGGAGTTCTGTTCCACTAGCAGTCGGGGAGGGGAGCTACTTACTTGGGATCTTGAGGCTTTGAACCCGGAGTTCTGTTCACTAGCAGTCGGGGGAGGAGGGAGCTACTTACTTGGATCTGAGGCTTGAACCCGGAGTTCTGTTCACTAGCAGTCGGGGGAGGGGAGCTACTTACTTGGGATCTTGAGGCTTGAACCCGGAGTTCTGTTCCACTAGCAGTCGGGGGAGCGGAGCTACTTACTTGGGATCTTGAGGCTTGAACCCGGAGTTCTGTTCCACTAGCAGTCGGGGGAGCGGAGCTACTTACTTGGGATCTTGAGGCTTGAACCGGAGTTCTGTTCCACTAGCAGTCGGGGGGAGGGGGAGCTACTTACTTGGGATCTGAGGCTTGAACCCGGAGTTCTGTTCCACTAGCAGTCGGGGGAGCGGATGCTACTTACTTGGGATCTTGAGGCTTGAACCCGGAGTTCTGTTCACTAGCAGTCGGGGGAGCGAGCTACTTTACTTGGGATCTGAGGCTTGAACCCGGAGTTCGGTTCACTAGCAGTCGGGGGGAGGGGAGCTACTTACTTGGGATCTTGAGGATTGAACCCCGGAGTTCTGTTCCACTAGCAGTCGGGGGAGGGGAGCTACTTACTTGGGATCCTGAGGCTTGAACCCGGAGTTCTGTTCCACTAGCAGTCGGGGGGAGCGGAGCTACTTACTTGGGATCTTGAGGCTTGAACCGGAGTTCTGTTCCACTAGCAGTCGGGGGAGGGGAGCTACTTACTTGGGATCTGAGGCTTGAACCCGGAGTTCTGTTCCACTAGCAGTCGGGGGAGCGGAGCTACTTACTTGGGATCTTGAGGCTTGAACCGGAGTTCTGTTCCACTAGCAGTCGGGGGAGGGGAGCTACTTACTTGGGATCTTGAGGCTTGAACCGGAGTTCTGTTCCACTAGCAGTCGGGGGAGGGGAGCTACTTACTTGGGATCCTTGAGGCTTGAACCCGGAGTTCTGTTCCACTAGCAGTCGGGGGGAGGGGGAGCAAATTACTTGGGATCTTGAGGCTTGAACCCGGAGTTCTGTTCCACTAGCAGTCGGGGGAGGGGAGGCTACTTACTTGGGATCTTGAGGCTTGAACCCGGAGTTCTGTTCCACTAGCAGTCGGGGGAGGGGAGCTACTTACTAGGGATCTTGAGGCTTGAACCGGAGTTCTGTTCCACTAGCAGTCGGGGGGAGCGGAGCTACTTACTTGGGATCTTGAGGCTTGAACCCGGAGTTCTGTTCCACTAGCAGTCGGGGGAGGGGAGCTACTTACTTGGGATCTGAGGCTTGAACCCCGGAGTTCTGTTCCACTAGCAGTCGGGGGAGGGAGCTACTTACTTGGGATCTTGAGGCTTGAACCCGGAGTTCTGTTCCCACTAGCAGTCGGGGGAGCGGAGCTACTTACTTGGGATCTTGAGGCTTGAACCCGGAGTTCTGTTCCACTAGCAGTCGGGGGAGGGGAGCTACTTACTTGGGATCTTGAGGCTTGAACCCGGAGTTCTGTTCCACTAGCAGTCGGGGGAGGGGAGCTACTTACTTGGGATCTTGAGGCTTGAACCCGGAGTTCTGTTCCACTAGCAGTCGGGGGAGGGGAGCTACTTACTTGGGATCTTGAGGCTTGAACCCGGAGTTCTGTTCCACTAGCAGTCGGGGGGAGGGGAGCTACTTACTTGGGATCTTGAGGCTTGAACCGGAGTTCTGTTCCACTAGCAGTCGGGGGAGGGAGCTACTTACTTGGGATCTTGAGGCTTGAACCCGGAGTTCTGTTCCACTAGCAGTCGGGGGGAGGGAGCTACTTACTTGGGATCTTGAGGCTTGAACCCGGAGTTCTGTTCCACTAGCAGTCGGGGGAGCGGAGCTACTTACTTGGGATCTTGAGGCTTGAACCCGGAGTTCTGTTCCACTAGCAGTCGGGGGAGGGGAGCTACTTACTTGGGATCTTGAGGCTTGAACCCGGAGTTCTGTTCCACTAGCAGTCGGGGGAGGGGAGCTACTTACTTGGGATCTTGAGGCTTGAACCCGGAGTTCTGTTCCACTAGCAGTCGGGGGAGGGGAGCTACTTACTTGGGATCTTGAGGCTTGAACCCGGAGTTCTGTTCCACTAGCAGTCGGGGGAGGGGAGCTACTTACTTGGGATCTTGAGGCTTGAACCCGGAGTTCTGTTCCACTAGCAGTCGGGGGAGGGGAGCTACTTACTTGGGATCTTGAGGCTTGAACCCGGAGTTCTGTTCCACTAGCAGTCGGGGGAGGGGAGCTACTTACTTGGGATCTTGAGGCTTGAACCCGGAGTTCTGTTCCACTAGCAGTCGGGGGAGGGGAGCTACTTACTTGGGATCTTGAGGCTTGAACCCGGAGTTCTGTTCCACTAGCAGTCGGGGGAGGGGAGCTACTTACTTGGGATCTTGAGGCTTGAACCCGGAGTTCTGTTCCACTAGCAGTCGGGGGAGGGGAGCTACTTACTTGGGATCTTGAGGCTTGAACCCGGAGTTCTGTTCCACTAGCAGTCGGGGGAGGGGAGCTACTTACTTGGGATCTTGAGGCTTGAACCCGGAGTTCTGTTCCACTAGCAGTCGGGGGAGGGGAGCTACTTACTTGGGATCTTGAGGCTTGAACCCGGAGTTCTGTTCCACTAGCAGTCGGGGGAGGGGAGCTACTTACTTGGGATCTTGAGGCTTGAACCCGGAGTTCTGTTCCACTAGCAGTCGGGGGAGGGGAGCTACTTACTTGGGATCTTGAGGCTTGAACCCGGAGTTCTGTTCCACTAGCAGTCGGGGGAGGGGAGCTACTTACTTGGGATCTTGAGGCTTGAACCCGGAGTTCTGTTCCACTAGCAGTCGGGGGAGGGGAGCTACTTACTTGGGATCTTGAGGCTTGAACCCGGAGTTCTGTTCCACTAGCAGTCGGGGGAGGGGAGCTACTTACTTGGGATCTTGAGGCTTGAACCCGGAGTTCTGTTCCACTAGCAGTCGGGGGAGGGGAGCTACTTACTTGGGATCTTGAGGCTTGAACCCGGAGTTCTGTTCCACTAGCAGTCGGGGGAGGGGAGCTACTTACTTGGGATCTTGAGGCTTGAACCCGGAGTTCTGTTCCACTAGCAGTCGGGGGAGGGGAGCTACTTACTTGGGATCTTGAGGCTTGAACCCGGAGTTCTGTTCCACTAGCAGTCGGGGGGGGGAGCTACTTACTTGGGATCTTGAGGCTTGAACCCGGAGTTCTGTTCCACTAGCAGTCGGGGGAGCGGAGCTACTTACTTGGGATCTTGAGGCTTGAACCCGGAGTTCTGTTCCACTAGCAGTCGGGGGAGGGGAGCTACTTACTTGGGATCTTGAGGCTTGAACCCGGAGTTCTGTTCCACTAGCAGTCGGGGGAGGGGAGCTACTTACTTGGGATCTTGAGGCTTGAACCCGGAGTTCTGTTCCACTAGCAGTCGGGGGAGCGGAGCTACTTACTTGGGATCTTGAGGCTTGAACCCGGAGTTCTGTTCCACTAGCAGTCGGGGGAGGGGAGCTACTTACTTGGGATCTTGAGGCTTGAACCCGGAGTTCTGTTCCACTAGCAGTCGGGGGAGGGGAGCTACTTACTTGGGATCTTGAGGCTTGAACCCGGAGTTCTGTTCCACTAGCAGTCGGGGGAGGGGAGCTACTTACTTGGGATCTTGAGGCTTGAACCCGGAGTTCTGTTCCACTAGCAGTCGGGGGAGGGGAGCTACTTACTTGGGATCTTGAGGCTTGAACCCGGAGTTCTGTTCCACTAGCAGTCGGGGGAGGGGAGCTACTTACTTGGGATCTTGAGGCTTGAACCCGGAGTTCTGTTCCACTAGCAGTCGGGGGAGGGGAGCTACTTACTTGGGATCTTGAGGCTTGAACCCGGAGTTCTGTTCCACTAGCAGTCGGGGGAGGGGAGCTACTTACTTGGGATCTTGAGGCTTGAACCCGGAGTTCTGTTCCACTAGCAGTCGGGGGAGGGGAGCTACTTACTTGGGATCTTGAGGCTTGAACCCGGAGTTCTGTTCCACTAGCAGTCGGGGGAGCGGAGCTACTTACTTGGGATCTTGAGGCTTGAACCCGGAGTTCTGTTCCACTAGCAGTCGGGGGAGGGGAGCTACTTACTTGGGATCTTGAGGCTTGAACCCGGAGTTCTGTTCCACTAGCAGTCGGGGGAGGGGAGCTACTTACTTGGGATCTTGAGGCTTGAACCCGGAGTTCTGTTCCACTAGCAGTCGGGGGAGGGGAGCTACTTTGGAGTAAGGACGGCTCAGTCCCAGTCTCGTTATATCTTCGTATTTCACTGTATCTACCTTCTGTAACGGTATACATGTTTATTTAAAATTGGGATATTCCAAAATCAACTGTATAAAATCTTAGGTTACCAAAAGGTTTCTGGCGAAGTAATTGTTTTTCCGGTTTCTTAATTAATTGATATGATGATTATTAAGAAAGCTTCAAACCGAAAGCATTTTGTCTCCAGGGACGGGTGTCTTAGATCCCTCCCTCATTCCCTTGTTCGGGGATGTTGAACCTGATGACGTCATCACGATACTCTTAGACCTTGAGATATCTGAAATATTGCTATTTTAATTTACGTTATAAACAAATGAATTTAATGGTCCAATAATAATATAGTGCTGTTATCACATGTTTTTAATTACAAAAAAGGAAATATCATTTTGCTCATCACTTTTTTCCAAAAAATGTTATCAAATTTGACAAAACCGTTACCAATTTTCAAACCCTAACCCACATTTACAAATCAGAACGAAGACCACAAACAACCACACAAACCTGGAAGTTTGGTACTCTTTTCAGGGTTAGTCTTACTGAGAACCCTTCTCCTGTGTTCCCTGATAGAATTACCCTGCACAGCGGACACCAGAGCGTCTGAAACAGGCACATTAGGACTGAGTCGGGTCACTTCCTCCAAGAGGGCAACGTCCTCGTGGGTTTCAACCAGTAGCTGGCTTACTCCTGACTGTTGGAATAGGTTATTAGTGTGGGTTTCAACCAGTAGCTGCTTACTCCTGACTGTTGGAATATGTTATTAGTGTGGGTCTCAACCAGTAGCTGGCTTACTCCTGACTGTGGGAATAGGTATTAGTGTGGGTCTCAATCAGTAGCTGACTTACTCCTGACTGTTGGAATAGGTTATTAGTGTGGGTCTCAACCAGTAGCTGGCTTACTCCTGACTGTTGGAATAGGTTATTAGTGGTGGGTCTCAACCAGTAGCTGGCCTTACTCCTGACTGTTGGGATAGGTTATTAGTATGGGTCTCAACCAGTAGCTAGCTTACTCCTGACTGTTGGAATAGGTTATTAGTGTGGGTTTCAACCAGTAGCTGGCTTACTCCTGACTGTTGGAATAGGTTATTAGTGTGGGTCTCAACCTGTAGCTGGCTTACTCCTGACTGTGGGATAGGTTATTATAGTGTGGGTCTCAACCAGTAGTTGGCCTTACTCCTGACTGTTGGTATAGGTTATTAGTGTGGGTCTCAACCCAGTAGCTGGCTTACTCCTGACTGTTGGAATAGGTTATTAGTGTGGGTCTCAACCAGTAGCTGGCTTACTCCTGACTGTTGGATAGGTTATTAGTATGGGTCTCAAGCAGTAGCTGGCTTACTCCTGACTGTTGGAATAGGTTATTAGTATGGGTCTCAACCAGTAGCTGGCTTACTCCTGACTGTTGGAATAGGTTATTAGTGTGGGTCTCAATCAGTAGCTGGCTTACTCCTGACTGTTGGAATAGGTTATTAGTGTGGGTCTCAACCAGTAGCTGGCTTACTCCTGACTGTTGGGATAGGTTATTAGTGTGGGTACTCAACCAGTAGCTGGCTTACTCCTGACTGTTGGAATAGGTTTTATAGTGTGGGTCTCAACCAGTAGCTGGCTTACTCCTGACTGTTGGGATAGGTTATTAGTGTGGGGTCTCAACCAGTAGCTGGCTTACTCTGACTGTTGGAATAGGTTATTCTAGTGTGGGTCTCAACCAGTAGCTGGCTTACTCCTGACTGTTGGGATAGGTATTATAGTGTGGATTCAACCAGTAGTTGGCTTACTCCTGACTGTTGGAATAGGTTATTAGTGTGGGTCTCAACCAGTAGCTGGCTTACTCCTGACTGTTGGAATAGGTGATTAATGTGGGTCTCAACCAGTAGCTGGCTTACTCCTGACTGTTGGAATAGGTTATTAGTGTGGGTCTCAACCAGTAGCTGGCTTACTCCTGACTGTTGCGATAGGTTATTAGTGTGGGTCTCAACCAGTAGCTGGCTTACTCCTGGACTGTTGGAATAGGTTATTAGTGTGGGTCTCAACCAGTTAGCTGGCTTACTCCTGACTGTTGGGATAGGTTATTAGTATGGGTCTCAACCAGTAGCTGGCTTACTCTGACTGTTGGAATAGGTTATTAGTGTGGGTCCTCAACCAGTAGCTGGCTTACTCCTGACTGTTGGGATAGGTTATTAGTATGGGTCTCAATCAGTAGCTGGCTTACTCCTGACTGTTGGAATAGGTTATTAGTGTGGGTCTCAAACAGTAGCTGGCTTACTCCTGACTGTTGGAATAGGTTATTAGTGTGGTCTCAACCAGTAGCTGGCTTACTCCTGACTGTTGGAATAGGTTATTAGTGTGGGTCTCAACCAGTAGCTGCTTACTCCTGACTGTTGGAATAGGTTCTTAGTGTGGGTCTCAACCAGTAGATGGCTTACTCCTGACTGTTGGGATAGGTTATTAGTATGGGTCTCAATCAGTAGCTGGCTTACTCCTGACTGTTGGAATAGGTTATTAGTGTGGGTCTCAACCAGTAGCTGGCTTACTCCTGACTGTTGGGATAGGTTATTAGTATGGGTCTCAATCAGTAGCTGGCTTACTCCTGACTGTTGGAATAGGTTATTAGTGTGGGTCTCAACCAGTAGCTGGCTTACTCCTGACTGTTGGGATAGGTTATTATAGTGTGGGTCTCAACCAGTAGCTGACTTACTCCTGACTGTTGGAATAGGTTATTAGTGTGGGTCTCAACCAGTAGCTGGCTTACTCCTGACTGTTGGAATAGGGTATTAGTGTGGGTCTCAACCAGTAGCTGGCTTACTCCTGACTGTTGGGATAGGTTATTAGTATGGGTTTCAACCAGTAGCTGGCTTACTTCTGACTGTTGGAATAGGTGATTAATGTGGGTCTCAACCAGTAGCTGGCTTACTCCTGACTGTTGGAATAGGTTATTAGTGTGGGTCTCAACCAGTAGCTGGCTTACTCCTGACTGTTGGAATAGGTTATTAGTGTGGGTCTCAACCAGTAGCTGGCTTACTCCTGACTGTTGGAATAGGTTATTAGTGTGGGTCTCAACCAGTAGCTGGCTTACTCCTGACTGTTGGAATAGGTTATTAGTGTGGGTCTCAACCAGTAGCTGGCTTACTCCTGACTGTTGGAATAGGTTATTAGTGTGGGTCTCAACCAGTAGCTGGCTTACTCCTGACTGTTGGAATAGGTTATAGTGTGGGTCTCAACCAGTAGCTGGCTAACTCCTGACTGTTGGAATAGGTTATTAGTGTGGGTCTCAATCAGTAGCTGGCTTACTCCTGACTGTTGGGATAGGTTATTAGTGTGGGTCTCAACCAGTAGCTGGCTTACTCCTGACTGTTGGAATAGGTTATTATAGTGTGGGTCTCAACCAGTAGCTGGCTTACTCCTGACTGTTGGAATAGGTTATTAGTGTGGGTCTCAACCAGTAGCTGGCTTACTCCTGACTGTTCGAATAGGTATTATAGTGTGGGTCTCAACCAGTAGCTGGCTTACTCCTGACTGTTGGAATAGGTTATTAGTGTGGGTCTCAACCAGTAGCTGGCTTACTCCTGACTGTTGGAATAGGTTATTAGTGTGGGTCTCAACCAGTAGCTGGCTTACTCCTGACTGTTGGAATAGGTTATTATAGTGTGGGTCTCAACCAGTAGCTGGCTTACTCCTGACTGTTGGAATAGGTTATTAGTGTGGGTCTCAACCAGTAGCTGACTTACTCCTGACTGTTGGAATAGGTTATTAGTGTGGGTCTCAACCAGTAGCTGGCTTACTCCTGACTGTTGGAATAGGTTATTAGTGTGGGTCTCAACCAGTAGCTGGCTTACTCCTGACTGTTGGGATAGGTTATTAGTGTGGGTCTCAACCAGTAGCTGGCTTACTCCTGACTGTTGGGATAGGTTATTAGTATGGGTCTCAAGCAGTAGCTGGCTTACTCCTGACTGTTGGAATAGGTTATTAGTGTGGGTCTCAACCAGTAGCTGGCTTACTCCTGACTGTTGGGATAGGTTATTATAGTGTGGATCTCAACCAGTAGTTGGCTTACTCCTGACTGTTGGAATAGGTTATTAGTGTGGGTCTCAACAGTAGCTGGCTTACTCCTGACTGTTGGAATAGGTGATTAATGTGGGTCTCAACCAGTAGCTGGCTTACTCCTGACTGTTGGGATAGGTTATTAGTATGGGTCTCAAGCAGTAGCTGGCTTACTCCTGACTGTTGGAATAGGTTATTAGTGTGGGTCTCAACCAGTAGCTGGCTTACTCCTGACTGTTGCGATAGGTTATTAGTGTGGGTCTCAACCAGTAGCTGGCTTACTCCTGACTGTTGGAATAGGTTATTAGTGTGGGTCTCAACCAGTAGCTGGCTTACTCCTGACTGTTGGGATAGGTTATTAGTATGGGTCTCAATCAGTAGCTGGCTTACTCCTGACTGTTGGAATAGGTTATTGGTATGGGTCTCAACCAGTAGCTGGCTTACTCTGACTGTTGGAATAGGTTATTAGTGTGGGTCTCAACCAGTAGCTGGCTTACTCCTGACTGTTGGGATAGGTTATTAGTGTGGGTCTCAACCAGTAGCTGGCTTACTCCTGACTGTTGGGATAGGTTATTAGTGTGGGTCTCAACCAGTAGCTGGCTTACTCCTGACTGTTGGAATAGGTTATTAGTGTGGGTCTCAACCAGTAGCTGGCTTACTCCTGACTGTTGGAATAGGTTATTAGTGTGGGTCTCAATCAGTAGCTGGCTTACTCCTGACTGTTGGATAGGTTATTAGTGGTGGTCTCAACCAGTAGCTGGCTTACTCCTGACTGTTGGGATAGGTTATTATAGTGTGGGTCTCAACCAGTAGTTGGCTTACTCCTGACTGTTGGAATAGGTTATTAGTGTGGGTCTCAACCAGTAGCTGGCTTACTCCTGACTGTTGGAATAGGTTATTAGTGTGGGTCTCAACCAGTAGCTGGCTTACTCCTGACTGTTGGGATAGGTTATTAGTATGGGTCTCAAGCAGTAGCTGGCTTACTCCTGACTGTTGGGATAGGTTATTATAGTGTGGATCTCAACCAGTAGTTGGCTTACTCCTGACTGTTGGAATAGGTTATTAGTGTGGGTCTCAACCAGTAGCTGGCTTACTCCTGACTGTTGGAATAGGTGATTAATGTGTGTCTCAACCAGTAGCTGGCTTACTCCTGACTGTTGGAATAGGTTATTAGTGTGGGTCTCAACCAGTAGCTGGCTTACTCCTGACTGTTGCGATAGGTTATTAGTGTGGGTCTCAACCAGTAGCTGGCTTACTCCTGACTGTTGGAATAGGTTATTAGTGTGGGTCTCAACCAGTAGCTGGCTTACTCCTGACTGTTGGGATAGGTTATTAGTATGGGTCTCAAGCAGTAGCTGGCTTACTCCTGACTGTTGGAATAGGTTATTAGTGTGGGTCTCAACCAGTAGCTGGCTTACTCCTGACTGTTGGGATAGGTTATTAGTGTGGGTCTCAACCAGTAGCTGGCTTACTCCTGACTGTTGGGATAGGTTATTAGTGTGGGTCTCAACCAGTAGCTGGCTTACTCCTGACTGTTGCGATAGGTTATTAGTGTGGGTCTCAACCAGTAGCTGGCTTACTCCTGACTGTTGGAATAGGTTATTATAGTGTGGGTCTCAACCAGTAGCTGGCTTACTCCTGACTGTTGGAATAGGTT